ATAACTATTGCTCCAGTTTGCAAAAAACAGAAGGCGAATGGTAGACTTTTCAACTACAGAGAAGTGAGTCAGCTAGATTCTGAAATGGACTCTTCCATTTTATGATGGAGTGGATGTGAGAGGGAAGAAATAAGTATTGTTTTTCTTATTATAAAAGAAATGCATACCCATGGGAAATTGAGAAAGTACAAAAAAGCGTAAAGAATAACAACCACCCATACTTCACCCAGAAATAACCACTGTTAAAATGTTGACCTATTCCTTTCTGGTAAATATATAATGAGTATATCTTAGCTTTTCAAGTATAGCATGTAATCCCCCCTCCATCATTTAAAGCTCTTCATTAATATAATTTACTGGATTCATAATAGTCCACACATGCATGCACAATAATTTATGTCACCTTTAATAATAATAATAATAATAATAATAATAATAATAATAATAATAATAATAGAAAGGTAATGGCTTACAAATGCTAGCAGAGGAAGCCATAACCCCTAGGAGCCAGCATCATTAATTCACTCAACTTACGTATTCTTCCATGCATTAGTAAATATTTACTGTCTACCGCATGCAGGCCTGGTCTAAAACTACAAATACAGCAGTGAGCAAAACAAAAGCCCCTGCCCTCACTGACCCTCCTCTGTAAGTGAGAAAAGAGATAATAAACAAGATGGTGATAAATACTAAGGAGAAAAAAGTAAGCAAGCAAAGGAGGTAATATGTGTTGGGGGAAGATTTTAGCTCAAGTGGCCAGAGATGGCTCAGGAGATGTCACTCAAGTGAAGGCCTAAAAAAGATGGAGAAAAGGCAGATGGATATTCAAAAAAGAACATTTCAGGCTGAGAGGAAACAGTAAATGTGAAGCCCCTGAGATGGGAGCATGCCTGGCACGTTAAAGGAACAGCAAGAAGGAGGCCAGTGTGGTCAAAGCAAAGTGAGAAAGCAGGAAAAGCAGAAGGCAATGGCCAAGGGGGCTAAGTAGGGCCTTTAGGTCATGTTCAAACTTTGTCTTTTCATCTGACTGAGCCAGAAGCCACTGGAGGGTTTGGTGGAGGGAAGAGACTTAGGCTCTGACAGGATCAATGTGGCTGCTATGTTGGAACAGACTGAAGAGGGAAGGGAAGCAGCAGGCAGGCCACAGTCTAAATCGTACAGAATAATCTGGAGTAAAGCAATCCAGTGACCAACTGGTTGAATAACCTCACAAAAGGCCTCAGTGAATAGACTGGTGGAATCCCAACAGCAGCTTCAAATGGCGGATATGCTAAGAAGGTAATCTGAGAGATCTGGCCAGAGGGCATGCTGATCATAGTCGAGTGAAACTGAAAAATACCAAGAGGCAGTGAGAGCAATCTGAACACAGACTGGATATTTAATGACATTATGGAACTGCTGATTTTTTAATGTGTGATAATGGTACTATGGCTATGCTTTAAAAATAATTCTCATTATTTAGAGATGGATATTCTATTTTTAAGTATTTAAGGATAAAATGATCCAATGTCTGGGATTTGCTTAAAAAATAATCGAGTATATGGGGGTAAAAAGTAGGTGGAGACACCCATGACACAAAGTGATAGTTGTCGAAGCAGGATGATGTGGATTCATTTTACTACCCACTCTACTTTTGATTATGTTTGAAAATGTCCTAAACAAAAGAGCTGTGTGTTTTGTTTTTTTAAATCAAGTATGGCATAGAGCTGAGAGAGATGGTAAATTAATCCACTGAATGGAAAAATGAATGCTCTAAAAAAACTTCAAGAGGCTAGAATTGTAGACCACATTTAAACAGGTAAAATGCAACAGGGGAGACTATAAAGTACTATATTTGGTTCTAAAACATCAAGTAAACAGTACAAAACAGACAAAAATCTGTTTTAAAAAAAAATCTTAGGATTCTAATATACAAAAAGGTCAGCAAGTGAAATGGCAAAAGTCTAAAGCAATCCCCAGGATGCATTACATATAGAATTTTAAAAAGGAGTGTGGGGAGAGGCAATAGGGGGCTCTTCCATGAGCTAATTGGCTTATACTTGCTGTTATTTGCTTTCTAAGTGGCTAGGTTGAGACACTTGCAATTATGTCATCATACACGTCATATGGGGAATGGAAGAGGGAGCTAGAGATACCAACATAAGAAAAAAAGACTGAAGAAGGGACATGATATTAGTCTTCAAATTCCTGCACTCACCATCTTTCCCCTTAAATCTACTTCTCCTTCATTCCCATTTTGGTGAAGGGCATCACCATCGATTTATTCACCTAAACAATGACCTGAGAATAATCCAAGATACCTGCCTTTCCCTCACCTTCCGCTCCTATTTAAAAATACCTCTTAAAATTGTTCTCCTCCGACCCACTGCTGGCAGTCTCTCGGCTCCGTTTATTTTTCCTCTGGTACGTTTCCCTTTGGGGATCACTCTCAACCTCGAAGTAGTTAATCAGCATGTTCTTTCCACCCAAGCACTGCAAGGAACTTAATTCAAGCCATCAAGATGGGTGTATATGTTAGCTGGAACTACAGGGGAGTAAGAGTGAGGTGGGAATGAAGGAAGAGTTAAAAAAAAAAAAAAAAAGACACACTCTCTCTGAATAGAATGTGAGGAGGTGATGTCAACTGCTGTAACCATTGTTACTACCCTGAGACCAGTCAGAGGACACAACCAATTTGAGAAGGAACCCAGAAGTGAAAAGGTCACAGAAAAATCAGAGCTGGAGCCCTGATGAGACTGTGAATCTCTGGATCAAACAACACTGGAGGCCAGTTCTAACACGGGATCTTTTCATTTACAAGACAATAAATTCCCTTTCTGTGTTAAGACCACAGTTCAAGATGAATTTTCTGTCACTTGTCATGAGTATCCTAACTGAGGAACTTAATGATGCTCATGATGTGTCAACTGGAATACTGCAACAATCCTCTCCCTGAAGAAATCCTCACAAAGCAGCTTCTCTACTGCTGTTTTATAAAACCAAGCTGATGTCTCTCTTCTACTTACAAACTTACAATGGTAAGTTTACCTTTAGAGTAAAATTCAAACTCCGAAAGTACGGCACACACAAGTCTTCGGTTTGGCCCCTTCCAATTTCTCTGGTCTCTCCTCTTACAACTCTAAAGCTATTTCAAGGTTCTGTTGTTGTTTTTCTCGTGTTCCCTCCGATGGGAATGCCCTTCTTACTCTGAATGATAAAAACACTTTCAGAGATACCACCTCAGTTTAGCCAAGGAATGCAAGTACATTTTTGCTGCCATCATGGACCCAGTACCCTTGGGCTCACCGCTGTGCAGCCTTTCCCTTTGGATAGCCTCATCCCCCATCCTCTTTAATTAAGCAAATTCAATTTTTCTTTATTCACTGTCTGAGATGGCTATTTAGTCTGCCCGTGCACCACTGACGTTAACCGTTCATTTTGGTGGTGTGTACAGGGATATCCAGAATGGAAGCTTTTCCTTCCTTCTCCTTCCAGTTCCCAAAGATTCTAGAACAATGAGGACCAGCTCTTGAGTTCTCAAGGGAAAGAGCCATGTCTAATCTCTACTCTACACTCTACAACACTCAGAAGAGTGTCTCTCACTCACATTCAATAGAACTTATTAAAGATAATTCAGCATAATGGGAATTCAACTCAGTAAAAGTTTTAGAAGAGTATTTACTGCTCAAGATCATGAATTTAATCTTCTTCAAGGCAGATAATGTCATTAGACAAGTGAGCAAAACCCTTAGGATTCTGTGATAAAACAAAGAAAAAAATAAGAACATGTAAAGATTTTTTTAGGAGTCTCTTCCAGGTAAACTGTTTGCAAGTATAAAGATTATCAAGCAGATTCCATCAACAGAATTCTGGGTTCCATCTGCCCTCCACCCCTAGAGCCTAGTGCTCTGTATTCGTAGTATTTACAATCTATGATGTGCAAGAGGGTGGAACTACATACAGCCAGTGTGCTCAAATTAGAGGGAAATGGATTTCAGTTTAAAAGGAGCTGTCCAATAGTCAACAGGTTGAACATCAGTGGGAGTGTCTGGAGGCTATAAAACCATGTCTCAAGGATGTTTACAAAGATAATTTACAGGAGACAAAGTATAATCTCATCACATACAAAGAAATGTTCTGGTTCCCTCTCCCAGCCTTTGGCATTCACCTTTACACTCATTCATTACATAAAAGCCCCCGAATGCAACCAACAGTATGAATTTTAAAACGTGATATTATTGACATCATGTCAATAACAAAGGATTAACAAATAAATACTTGTTTAAGTAAGGGGACTATACTTAATTATTCACCTCAGTAATTAACAGCTGGAGTAAAACCCAAGTCACACGCATACCTCGCTTCATTGCGCTTCACAGGTGCTGCCTTTCCTTTTTATAAACAAACCGAAGGCAAGACCCTCCACCAGCAAAAAGATTACGACTCTCTGTACTGTGATACTTGCTTTATTAGGGTGGCCTGGAAACAGACCCGCAGTATCTACGAGGTATGCCTGTATATAGCCAAAGGCACGCAAAGAGCCCGAAGCAGTGAGCACCCAACATCAATTCAAAACCGCACAACGCATTAAGGTTACCACCACCAACTCCAACTAACTTCACTATATATAAAAGCACAACAGAAAGCACACCCAAGCCCCAAAGAGGGACCCCAGGGGGAAGCCCTCCTGACGCAAAGCACCTGAGAGAGCAGAGCTGAGCCCGGGAGGGAAGGGCTGGAGTGCGGGGTGTGCGGGCCACTTAGTGCGGGGCGCGTCAGCGCGCATTCCGGGCCCTTGAACGTCCGGAGGGACAGGGCGCGGGGGAGCTGGGCCGCTGCCCACTGACGATGCCAAGGGAACCGTGGGGCTTGGCACCTCCCAAACGCGCCGCCACGTCTGCCTTCTCCAGCCCGTTTTACAGATATGCGGGTGGGGACCGGAGCCTCCAGACCGACCCCTCCCCGGGGCAGCGGGGATGCCGGGCGGCTGGCTCCAGGGGAGCTGGCCGGCGCTTCCTTACCTCCGGGCGCCGGCGGCGGCTCCTGCCGCTTTCCGCGAGACAGGAAGGCCTTGGGCAGCAGCAGCGACACGGCGAGGACGAGCCCCGAGGCCAGGGCCACCCTCTGCACGGTGGAGTACGCCATGGCCGCTCGCGCTCGCCCTCGGCCTCGCCTCAGGTGCAGACGCGAACGGGAACCGGAACCGGAACAGGAACCGGAACCGCAGCGCCGGCCGCCTCCTCAGAGAACTGCGCGTGGCTGCGCCGACGG